GTATGAAAATTACAACATGAGGAATCTTGGAAATCAACCTACAATAACTGAATTAATTGAAAATACAGTCTCAGATAATCCAAAGTTTTCCTGGAAAACTAGTAAAGGGAAAATTTTGAAACTTTTTGCATGTAAAGAGGAAGATGAGAAGCTCATTTTCCCAAAATTTCAAATTTTTCCAGTGGAAAATAACAACACGAAGAATCTTGGAAATCAGCTTATAAAAACATTATTCTTTTGAATTTTTCAAATTTGGACCTGTAAATCATGAAGTGAAATTTTGGGAGAATTTCTTTAAAAAAAATAAATATCCAACATCCAATGCAAAACTAGATTTTTTTAAAACTTCCATTTATTACTATTTTTATAATAAGAATATGAACCTCAGTGACGTTATGATCCTATAATTTCCTTTAAATTTCTCATAAATTCCTCACAAATTCTTCCAAATTCCCCATAAATTCATCCAAATTCCCTATAAATTTCCCAAATTCTCATGAATTTTGGAAAAATTCCCCACAAATTCCTCACATTTTGGACAATGAATTCCTAGGTGGTTTGCCGCTTGCTTAATGTTTACATCTTTGACTATTTTTTAAAGTACATAATTTGAAGAAAACAAAAATTCAAAAACCTGGAATAGACAAAAAATATGATACTCGTGCAAGGATGAAATAATTCAAAACTTTATTTCAAAAATATCAATTTTCTTCAGTAAGTTCCAGTCAATCTTATAAGTTCAGTAAATAAATGAACTTGAATTCCAAAACCACCTTTTTATACCTGTTTTGTAGTATCGGCTAATTGTTTGCTTATATTTAGCAATTGATCCGTTACATTTGTGCTCATTTGTACCATATTTTCTTTGCTTTTGTTGTTCCGTCTTCTGAGCTCATCTTCTTTGCTGTATTTTAATAATTCGTCCTTTGAACCTTTTTCTATTGCCAGCATCGCTTTTAAATTTGCTTTTTTGAATGCATCCATCGAACTTAGAAGAATTTCAATTCAAGATTAATATACATATATTTTCAAAGACTATGTTAACTACCTTGCCAATTGTTCCCTTTCTAAAATAACGTCTGAGAATTTGTCTATCAATTTTCTCAGAGCAGCAATTTTTGATCTTCCTGCGCTGTTCAGGCTATGGAGTTCAGATACTGGGCCTGTACAAGCACTTATATCCTAGAAAATGGTTAAATAATTCGAGCCATGTTTATACAGTGTGTTCACGTAAGTTCGCAGCATAGGGGAAACTTTTTTATTATCAATTTTACAAAAAAAATTATTCTTTATGAAAGTTTCTGCTTCTTGAATAGTTTTTAACTATTGAAACTAGAAATAGCATGTACAGGGTGGTCAGGAAATGGAAAAATATACAGAGTTTTTTGGTAAAAGTAGAAAAAAAAATGGCATGTCAGTATTTTTTAAAACCTTTGATATTTTTTTCAGATTAAGCAAGTCATATTACAGTCAAGAGATACCTTTCGTTATCACAAACAAGCCTGCCAAATTTGAAGAAAAAAAAAATTGGAAAAGGGATTTTTGAGCTAAAAAAACGTTTTTTTTTTCTAAAACTTTGACACCCTGTATCTCAGAAACTACGCATTTCTGGACACATGTTTATGGGAACTTTTTTTCTTAAAATATTGTTGTAAGTTATGAATTGTATTTAGGAAACACCCTGTATATTTTTCTATTTTTTGACCACCCTGTGCATGCTATTTCAAGTTTCAGTAGTTTAATATTATTTTTTCAAGAAGCAGAAACTTTTATAAAGAATAACTTTTTTTCCCTAAAACTGATAATAAAAGTTTTCCATATGCTGCGAAATTAAGTGGACACACTGTATATGAATTCTTGCTCTTGATTAACCTAATGCATTATTTAATAATTGGCAATCGCCCTAATTAGAAGGTTTTTTTTTCAAGTAAAAATAGAAATCCTCTTACCTGTGTAATTGCTTTTAATTGTAGATGATTTTCTGTGATATCTTGACGAACATCTTTTAATAAAAACTGCAAAGAATCCATTCTATTGTTCTATGTTTGGAAATATCTTCAATTAATTAATATTAATTATAATTAAAAAGAAAATCAAACAAAAACAGTGGTTTCCCGGATTTTGAGGTTATGAAAGATGTGGATGTGACATCAGAGATGATGTGTTCTAGAGTGAAAAACTATCGATACTCTTCTTGAAGAGTCGATTGATGGAAAAGATTTGTGATTGTGAAAAGTAATGAATTGAAAATCTATTGAAACAAATTAAATTAATTATTCTGATTTCATATTTTCCTTGTACTATCGGCTGGAACCGTGTTCTGTTTAAGATTGAAAAGCTCCGGAACAATATGTTCGGAGTTATTCGGAGTAACTTTCAAAAAGTACGCTTATTTATTTGAAATGTTCTAGTACATAAGAGACGCTTTCTAGTAACGCATTTTAAGCACTCCTGAGCTACTCTGGAGCACCTCGGACTGTTTATAGGCATTCCAGTGCATTTTCTAGTTTCGCGCAACTGATCTGTTCATTTGTCCTCTCCCCTGCCCTCTCAAGCACCAGCAATTTTATGGATGCATCAAAAACACAACGCCTAAAGTAGGGTGCGTTCCAGTGACCAACAGTTGTTTGGAGCCCCAGAGTGTGAAGCTACGGGTTTGGAGCACCCTAAAATTCGTCACTGGAAAGCGGCTGGTGGGTTCCGAAAGACTGTTCTATAAACTCCAAGGTCAATAAACAAACAATCCTGATGCGTTCGGGTATTTGTCATTTTGAGCTAAAAAAGTTACTCCACATGCGTTCGGGAAGGACTTGTGGGAGTCAGGTTAGGTTATGTTAAGAAACTCCCAAATATACCTTGGCCGTTCTGTTTCACTAATCCACTCCAACCAAAAGCTTTTTGGTCACGTGATAAAAACGCCACTCTAACTCTACTCCAGCTCCGCTGGGGCCATACCGATTACCGAACCCGGTGAGTGAAAAGTCATTTATCATAGGGATGTTTGGAAACATCGCACGGTTTCTGTTGTAAAATGAGATGAGAGTGGAGCTAGTTGAACCGTGTTCTATTTAGAGTAAAAAACTTCGGAACTATTTGTTCGGACAAAAAGTGCAAGTCACTCTCAAATGTAAAAATAATGCGGTTCTGGAGTAGAATAGGTTGGAGTTTCATCTGCAATAACTCTGTTCTTTTTGCACTGCTCTGATTGTTAGAGTTCGTGTCAAGAGTTAAGAGTACGGTGACGTCAAATGCGCACAAACCCAATTTTGAAGACTAACCGAACTATCATATTGTTCGGTCCTGCTACCGAACGCCAAGCACGTGGTTCATTGTCGTACGGCCAGCAGGCATATTTATTTAGTTTATTTTCTCTCCAACTTTTGTCTAAAAGGATACCCCGCTGCTGGTTTCAGCTCACGGCCGAGGTCACGGCCAATGAACTATAGCTAAAAACAGACAGCGAGAGATAGACGAGAGAGAGAGATCAGACCCGCTTCGCGCAGCTTTCCGTGTCGTCACCGTACTCTTTACTGCTGACGCGTACTCTACTACTCACATAAGTTGTATTCCTTTCACACCTAGAAGGAGCTCTGGGGCTTCACGCGCTTATTCCTTTCGAAAAGTGTTTGTTGCACCACGCATATGTTCCCTGCAAATCGGGGGCGACTAAGCACCGAAGCGAGTAGCTCGAGCGTTTCAAGCTCTTGAAAGGAATACAACTATAGCGTTTCCCATTTGTTGAACCAGTGCAAAAAAATGTATCTAGATGTTATGCTTTTAAAAAAAGATGCGGATACACTCAGTGCGCACTGATTGACAAATAGATATCGCCATAATATGCTACTAAACATGAATTTATTCACTATAACAGTAGCTGATTTGAAAATTAGTTTTGGGTTTTTAGTAATTTTACTTTGACTGTTCTAAGTGCACTGACTGTTTTTGATCTGTTCAACTGTCTGAACTACTTTGATTGTTCTAATTCAGTCCCATCTGCACTAACTCGATTTAAATTACTAGTATTCCATCTGCATTAATTCTATCTGAATTCCTTCTATTGTTCGAGTTACTCTAAGTGTTCCAATTGCCTAATCGCTGAGATTCGGAACAATCAGTGTTCTTTGATCGTGGAGTTTTTTTTTACACTGGAGCGTCTTTTCCGAACGAATTTCGGAGTTACTCCTTTTAACTAGGGCCATCTATGATTTACATCCGCATTAACTGCCAACAGCGCTACGCCCGACCTTCATTTACCCTTGGGAAGGTTAAAGAAGTCATGCAAAAAGTGCAAAAGATTCTCTCAAATTAAGTTTGTCACGTAACTTTTTAACACTTTATCACTACATAGTCACGTGACCGTGTTCTCAAATTTGGAAATTTGGCAATAGGGACGTTCATTGATTATAGTCTAGTCGACCAAAAAACTCAAAGAAGTGTAGAAGCCGGCTAGTCTAGTTTTTACCATTTCTGGATCATATCTCAGGTTAACAAACAGTAAGTTAATTACATTTCTATATTTGGACAAACATTGCTTAAGATAATCTATTTTTATCATAAATCTCATCATCCTATAGGGTATGGGGCACAATATACAGGGTGTTTTCTAATTGAATGTCAAGATTTAAGGGGGTGATTTTTGAGTCCATTTTAAGAAGAAAACTTCCTATAAAGGTATGTCCTAAACCAAGGTTCCTAAAGTTAAAAGGTTGTCTGGTAATGCGTAACTCGATGACGTCATCTGGGGTGCCTTATGGGAATTTGCATTATGTTGAGGCACATCAAATGACGCCATAAAAGTTATCAGGCAACCTACCTCTCTCAAACAACCTTGGTCCTAAACATCCTTACTTTCAAGATACAGGGTGATAAGGTTTTCAAAAGTAAGGCCCAATTTATCCATCTCCAGATAAACTTGCTGGTAACTATCTGCAAGATATATTTACCATTCTATAATTGTATTGGTCAGTGGATAGCTGACTAACCCAAACTAACCAGCCCTAAATCTATTATTATATCTATAGTATTTTTAATACCCATTTGGAATAACCCCATCCTTGTTTACCAATCATGAATCACAAAAAATTACCAACCAATCATAAATTACTAAAACCACTAGTACTTCCAAATCGGTATTGAAAATTCTATATCAGTAAAGCTCGATGTCTGTTAACACATTGCCACTAGTACCATTTGTACAGAATTTGACCTGCCGATTATCAGTAGACATTGATGGTACGCCACTGATTTGTCTTAAAATAAATTAATCGTGCCGCGGAATGTAAAAAATCAAGTCATCAACTTTGCTTGGAAATGATTAGGGATTTCAAGAATAATTTTTATTTCAAGAGAAATCAGTGGCGTACCATCAATGTTCGCCCAAGTAGGCTGGTCAAATTCCATACAAACGCCACTGGTGGAAGTTTAAAAAAAAAGTGGTACATTAAAAAATGTCTCAAGGAGCGACTATAAATTTGACCCTTAGCTATAAGTATTTCTCAAAATGACATTTTTACATGGAGAAATGAATGGAGAAATGTCACTTTAAGTCCAAGTTGTACAATCTTGGTTCAAAACAGAGTTCAGCTGAACTCGACTGGTACTTGAACTTCCCCATTTGAAATGCATTGCTGTCAAAATTGATGGGATTTGATTACTAGCTGACAGCAGCTCATATACTAGTCAAGTTTAGTTGAACTTTGTTTTGAACCGAGATTGTACAACTGGGCCTTAGCAATAGTTATCTCTAAGGGCGAGTTCTCATGAGCGTAAGTTAACACTTCTGGCATAATCATGTGATAATATGGTGTAATTTTATTGGTAAAATCTCCAGCGTGGCGAATATTTCACCAATAAAATCCAACCATTTTATCACATGATTACACCAGAAATGTCAACTTATGCTCATGAGAACTCGCCCTAAGGCTACCTTGAAAATGGTCAGTGCAAACGGCCATAAGATAGGTTCATATGAAGTTTCCTTTTTAAGATAGACCCCACTCAAAAATCGCCCCCTTAAATAATAACATATTAGGAAAAACCTCGGGAAAAACCTTGTATGAAATATGCAATTGTAAATAATCAGAAATTTCAAATATTTTCAATAAAAGTAAGGAAGCAGAAAGAATAGGGTTTTTTTATAAGCAATAAAGACACTTGTATTTTCCAATAAGTACAAAATAATTTGACTTGTCATACCTATGTTGAAATGTCCATAAAACGTTTCATTTCTGCCACAGTTGCCAAAATGCCTATCAAAAGCATCCTCGCCCGCAACATTTTCGACTCCAGAGGCAATCCTACTGTCGAAGTAGACCTTGTCACTGAACTAGGACTCTTCCGCGCTGCCGTACCATCAGGAGCCAGCACAGGTACTTTATAACAAAATCACACTTTCCACAAATAATCATTTGTAATGAGTTTAGGTGTCCACGAAGCCCTAGAACTTCGTGACAACGACAAAACCCGCTACCACGGCAAAGGCGTCCAAAAAGCCATTGACAACATCAACAAAATCATCGCCCCTGAACTACTGAAAGCGGGACTTGAAGTCACCCAGCAAACTGAAATCGATGAGTTCATGATCCAATTGGACGGTACTGAAAACAAATCCAAATTGGGTGCCAATGCCATCTTGGGTGTTTCTTTGGCTGTAGCCAAAGCTGGTGCTGCCAAAAAAGGGGTTCCTTTATACAAACACTTGGCTGATTTGGCTGGAAACACCAACATTATTTTACCAGTGCCCGCTTTCAATGTTATCAACGGCGGTTCCCATGCTGGTAACAAATTGGCTATGCAAGAGTTCATGATTTTGCCTACCGGAGCCGCCAACTTTACTGAGGCTATGAAAATGGGCAGCGAAATTTATCATCACTTGAAAAAAGTTATTAACAATAAGTTTGGTTTGGATGCTACTGCTGTTGGTGATGAAGGTAATGCTCCACTATTATGTAAAGATTTCTAGATTTAAAAAGTTCTTGAAACAAACACAATAACACTGGAGTCAGTTAATTAATATTTTAATCAAAATTCAAGGTGGTTTCGCTCCAAACATCCAAAACAACAAAGACGCTTTGGACCTAATCAACGACGCCATCGCTAAAGCAGGCTACACTGGTAAAATTGAAATCGGCATGGATGTTGCCGCCTCTGAATTCTACAGAGATGGCCAATACGATTTGGACTTCAAAAACCCCAGCTCTGACAAAAGCAAATGGATTTCGTCTGAGAAGCTTCAGGCCCTCTACCAGGAATTTATCAAAGATTTTCCAATTACTTCAATTGAAGATCCTTTTGATCAAGATGACTGGAGTGCTTGGTCTTCTATCACTGCTGCAACTGATATCCAAGTAAGATTTTTTGAGTTTAATTTACAATTATTTTTTTTTTTGTATAATTATTTATTGTAGATTGTTGGAGATGATTTGACTGTTACCAACCCAAAAAGAATTCAAACTGCTGTAGAAAAAAAGGCTTGCAACTGTTTGCTGTTGAAAGTGAACCAAATTGGTAGTGTAACTGAATCTATTAGAGCGCATTTGCTTGCCAAGAAAAACGGTTGGGGCACAATGGTGTCTCACAGGTCTGGCGAAACTGAAGACACTTTCATCGCTGACCTTGTAGTTGGGCTTTCTACTGGGCAAATTAAAACTGGCGCCCCCTGCAGGTCAGAACGTTTGGCCAAATACAACCAAATCCTTCGTATTGAAGAAGAATTGGGAGCTGCAGCTAAATATGCTGGAAAAACCTTCAGAAAACCACAATAAATTTTTGTATGATGTTGGAAACTGTTTATTCCAATCAATCAATTTGTTTGAGAAGTTTCATTTTGATTTCAAATATTATAAGGAGTTTTGTGTAGTAATGACTCTCAGAGTAGAAAAAAATGTTGTATTTGTGGTATAGTTGTTTAAAATAAATTTATTTATTTATTCACACATGATTTTGCTTTTATAATATCAATAAATGATTTATATTACATGTAAGAAAAATGTTTTAAAGTTGTTGAATATTGAATAAATCAACATACATACTTCTAGTTGTTTTTATCTGGATGTTGAATTAACATCAGTTGAAATATAAATCCTTGGGACTTTTCACATTGTGAGGAAATATTCTTTGTTTTTGAAGGGATTTAATAATGAAGTACTCTGTAACAGGCTATATCAAGAAAACTCAGTCAAGAACATACAGGTTTTTTCACTGTTTATAGGTACAATATTTTGACTGATACAATAACAAACCCCATGAAACCCTAATTTTTTTCAATTTCAGTACCATCACCCTTTCAAAAGTACCCTTATGCCACTCCATCGACAACCTGATGAATGATTAAGCCAATAAGGAACTACATACAGGTTAGGCAATTCAACAACTTTGTTCCAACCAACATGAGAACCGTTCCAGAACCAATAATTTCCAGTTGCCCACCTATTTTCCAATAGGTTCAACGTTTATCCTACTTGACAAATCAATTAATCGACTGGAAATTACCGTTCTAGAACGGTTCTCATGTCAGTTGAAACAGAGCTGACGTTTAAGGTTAAATAGAGAATAAAGATGATTTTCTCTGTTCCACCTCCAGCATTCCCCTCTCTCAAGAAAGCCTTTTTTTGCATAGATTTTTTCTCGAGTCCTCGGGCTGATGGAAGGGGAATCTGCTAGAGCACGCTTTTTCTCTGTTCTTATTCCATTGAAGCCTTTGCCTATCAAATTGGCCAAGTAGTTATCTCTCTCTATGGCACTGGAAATCTTGTGACACAATCTCCTTTAATATGTTACAATGTCTATGGTGCCAGAAGCAAATGCTGTAAATTTGCCTTTAATGGGCAACCTCAGCAAGTCTTCTATATAAATTAAGAATAAAACAGGGCTAAGCACAGATCCCTGCGGAACGCCTGTGTTAATAGGCAAGAAAGAAAATGTTAAATTATTATTTTTGACTATCTGACCTCTGTTCGACATGTAGGAGTCAAAGAATTTATAAGAAACTCCTCGTATCCCATAAAAAGACATTTTTTTCAGCAAGATATGTCTAACATAGTCGAATGCTTTTGAAAAGTCTCAGAAAACTGCAGCTGCTACTTCTCTTTCGTTTAGCTTCAAATACAGACTCTCGAGAAAACTAAAAATAGCATCAGTGATGCCCTTACCCGCCTAGAAACCATATTGAGGCGGGTAAGGGCACCACTGATACTGTTTTTAGCTTTCTCAAGAGCCTGTTTCTAATCATAATTATTCTTCAGGAACACTGTAAAAGATAATGAAGAAATAAATTTAGACCTTATATAGTTCTAGAACGGTTCTCATGTCAGTTGAAACAAAGCTGACGTTTAAGATTAAATAGATAACAAAGGTGATTTCCCCTGTTCCTCCTCCAGCATTAGCCTCTCTCAAGAAAGCCTTTACTTGCTCAACTTTTTTCTTGAGTTCTCGGGCTGGTGGAAGAGGAATCTGCTAGAGCACGCTTTCTTTCTGTTCTTATTCCAGCCTTTGCCTATCAAATTGGCCAAGTTGCTATCTCTATGGCACCGGAAATCAAAGGGCCGTAATTCAGAAACCAGAAAAGCTATCAAACACAAAATTTTGCCTAATAGTAGATCTCGATTGGGGCTTCAAAAAAGCCTATTTGAAGCAACGAGCCCTAGGGCTTCGTTTTCGAAATATTTGGCTTCAAATTTGAAACAAAGTTACAACTTTGAGGTTCAATATCTCGGAAACTATTCGAAATAAATGATTCAATTTAGTTTTATTTTGAAGAGAATTTAATTCTGATTAAAAACGTATGAATATGCATTAGAATTTGTAAAATATTAGTCAAGTAATGAGCAATTTTGTGAGGCAATGTCTGATTATCAAAATTTTTCAGGGCAAAAAATGCAAAAATCGTTTTTAATTTTTTACAGGCCCTACAACCTCATAAAGTAAAATCGCGAAAGTGATTTTCTACTAAATTTATTCCCCTCGTTCCATTTATAATGTCAAAAATTGAAAAATTTAGAAAAATCAAAATTCCGATTTTTCAAAGGGGTATCCAAGGAAATTTTATTTTTAAATATTTCAAAGGGCCGTATTTCAGAAACCAGAAAAGCTATCGAAACAAGATTTTGTCAAATTGTAGATCTCGATTGGGGTTTCAAAAAAGCCTATTTGAAGCAACGAGCCCTAGGGCTTCGTTTTAGAAATATTTGGCTTCGAAGGTTTTCCTAAATTTGAAACAAAGTTTCAACTTTGAGGTTCAATATCTCGGAAACTATTTGAAATAAATGATTCAATTTAGTTTTATTTTGAAAATAATTTAATTCTGATTAAGAACATATGAATATACATTAGAATTTGTAAAATATTAGTCGATTAATGAGCGATTTTGTGAGGCAATGTCGGATTATCAAAGAAATTTCATTTTCAAATTTTACAAAGGGCCGTATTTCAGAAACCAGAAAAGCTATCGACACGAAATTTTGTCTAATTGTAGATCTCGATTGGGGCTTTAAAAAAAGTTATTTGGGGCATCGAGCCCTAGGGCTCCGTTTTTGAGATATTTGGCTTTGAAGGTTTTCCTAAATTTGAAACAAAGTTTCAACTTTGAGGCTCAATATCTCAGAAACTATTCAAGATAAATGATTCAATTTAGTTTTATCTTAAAGAGCATTTAATTCTGATTAAGAATATATAAATATGCATTGGAATTTGTAGAATATTGATTGAGTCGTCAGCAGTGGCGGCCAGTTAGAGCACAAGTTGACTGTGCACAGTAGTGCACACTTTCGGGGGAAGCCCAAATTTCTGATCTAACGATTGTAATAACTACTATTGAACTAAAAAAAAATATGTTAAAAGGACCGACATATTTTGCGCCAGTGCCACGGCCCTTTGGCTCCAACGTTGCGTTGCCAGCTGTGTATTAGCTAATAGCTCAATAAAGTAGGTATTTATAATAGCTTTGTTTCAACACATCAAGAAACCGTATCATGTACGTCACGAATGTGTGCGTAGAAGCCGAAATTCGTTTTACATGGAGTGGTTTCGAACCTGTTCATGGGGCGGTTTTTGACGTGTTGAAACAAACCTATAGATACCTGAGATGGGAGAAAGTTTGACTTGAGAAGGGTTTTAAAAGAGATCAAGTCATAAAATTTTCTCATGGTCTTCTCCCAAAGTACCCACAGAAAACAATTACTATGGGAAGGAGCCTAATATGGGAAAAATATGTCTATGGGAAAAACATCGCAATTGATAAAAAGGTGGAACCTAAAAGAGGTATTTCTCATGGTCTTGTTCACAAGTACCCACACAATTAGTGTAGGGAGGAGTCATAGAGCCAAATTTATACTTTACCATTGCGCGCTTTGAAAGTTGAGCTTCTAGGTGATATTTCTTGCCAGGTTGGTCTGGATTATTTCGATTCCTTTATGACTGTTTGCATCGACAATTTTAAGGGAGGTTTAACGATAATCAACGCTTACAGTGACATTTTTACATGTACAAATGTCATTTTAAACGTTGATTATCGTTAAGCCTCCCTTAAAATTGTCGGTGCAAAATTGGCTTGACATCACTATCTTTTAATTGGCCACTTCTAAGCTGTTCGGAAGTTCATTCTTGATCCGGAGGCTTCCAATAGGAACTTCTTCATGATGGTCTATTTTAAAACAGTTGGCGCACACATTGCTATATTCGCTAAAAAAATGAAGCCATCAAAGACGGATGCCAATAGTTCATTGGCTTTCATTGAGCTGGGCATGGTCGCCTGGATAAGGCATCTACCTTATTATTGTTATACAACATTGTTTGATTTGAAAATTCTACTGCTTTAACTTTTCCAGCCATCTTGCTACCTGTCCTCTATTCTTTTGTTTGTTTCATGTTTAGAAGTCATTTAGGCGATGCATGGTCTGTTCTAATGAGAACTACCTGTTCATGCAGGTACTTGTAGAAATGGTCAACCCAACCGCTCTGACTATTGCTAGTTCTTATCTTCTACACAGTAATTTCTCTCGAGCTTGGTAAGCACTTCTGTAATATTCATCGACCCTTTCTTCTTCATCTTGTGTTTGCGATAGGACAGTTCCGTCACAGTTTGTTCCGTTGCTCGCGTCTGTGTCCAAAATGATTTTTCCATATACCCGTGAGTAGCCTAAAATAGGACTGACTTTAGTCTCCTAAAAGTTACGTCGCAGTCGGAGTTCTAATCAAAATTAGCTTTTTCTTCAGTAAGTGTACTTATGCAACAACGCTGCTATCTTAGTAAATAAATAGGTCGGCTGAAACTAGCACTTTTAAACGAGGAGGAGGAGGAGTTCTTATTGCAGTGGATAAAGCTTTTTCAGCAGTGCAAGTACATACTTCTAATAATTATCTGGACCAATTATTTGTAATACTGTCTATCAAGGGAAGAAAAATTTTGTTAAGTAACGTTTATATACCTCTTCAATCTTCAGCAGAGATCTATATGAAGCCTACAGTCAATCAATTGAGGAAGTTTTAAGCAAGATCAACTGTGATAGGATCTGTTTTTGTGGTCATTTTAATCTTCCTGAAATCAAGTGGCTGTGTGATGACAGAGGTGTCTCAGTGTGGAATGGTATTTCACCCCAGGCCTCTGTGATTGTTGATTTCATGGCCTACTTAAATTTGTTTCAAGTTAATAATATTCCAAATGCTTTGGGATTTGTGCTGGACCTTATCTTTTATAACTCTCAAAGTGTAATCATTGATATTTGTAGTAGTCCACTATTACCATGTAATATAGGTATCACCCAGCCTTATTATTTGAACTGGACATGTCTGTGCCCAATAGGAATAGTTTGTCTTTTGATTATAAGTATTTTGATTTTCAGCATGCAAATTATATCGAACTGAACAATTTCTTGGGATGCTTTGATTGTGATAGTATTTTGAATGTAGAAAATGTTGAGATAGCCGTTCGAGAATTCTATTCTATTTTCTAGAGGTATTGAAATGTATGTTCCAGAAAAAAGATCTAAAAATAAGAGGTTCCCTGGTTGGTATAGTGATGAGCTAAAATCGACTATTCTAAATAAGAAGGGGTAGGTACATTATGGAAGAAAACACATATGTAATGCCCGTATTACATCTGTGTATTTTTCCGTGTATTTATTCATGTAGCTCAGGGTGCCAACCTTATTTTGTTTTTCATAATGCTGATTTATGTTGCGTTTGGAGTTTTTCGGTTGTCACCCTGAACCACATGAATAAATACAAGGAAAAATACACATATGTAATACGGGCATAACACGCAATTTTATGGGGAGTTTTGTGATTTAAGAAGACAATGTAAAATTTTGATAAAACAATGCTATGATTGTTATGTCATTGATGTTCAATCTAGTATTATCAATGATAGTGGGACTTTCTGGAAATTTGTAAATGTGAAAAATAGTAACTATGACTTGCCAAATTGTTTGAGTTTGAATGGTAAAACTACACATGAGTCCCAGGAAATTGTACAGTTCTTTGCGGAATTTTTCGGGTCTGTTTATAGAAAAATAGACTGGTGTATCGGAGGTAAATTGTGATAGAACCCTTGATATTAATACTTGTAATATAAATGTAATGAATGTATTCAACTCGATCGTAAATATTAAAACAAATCTATCAGCTGGTCCTGATGAATTACCTGTACAACTTTTTAAGGAGTGTAAATATATATTGTCTGAAATTCTAGTAAAATTGTGTAATGTATCTTTGTCATCTGGAACATTCCCTTCACAATGGAAGGATTCTCGAGTAACTCCAATTTTCAAGAGTGGCGACAAATCTTTGGTTGATAATTATAGGCAAAGACAATACTACTACTACTACTACTACTACTACTACAAAACTAATAAGATAGATCCTTTAGTGTACAGTGTATTATCGTCATCCCAACATGGTTTTGTAAAGGGTCGTTCAACTGTTACGAATCTTCTGGTCTACACTGAATCACTGGTGAGGGCCTTGGAAGACAGATATCAGATTGACTCAGTCTACACGTAGTAGTATTGTCTTTGGTAATATTAATATTAGAGTAGAGGTACCCCAAAGATTAACCCGTCAACATGACTTATTTGCAATAGATTTTCATAGAACTAACTATGGATTAAATAGTCCTATGTCCAGAATATGTGGGCTGGCATATTCAAAGTGTGGTAGTGCTGATCTTTTCTGTACTGATCTTGCTTGTTTCAAGAGATTTATAAAGTTGATTCTTTAAATTGTATTAAATTACAGGAAAGGCTGGGTGACTCTATTAATTATCCTATTCTTTTTTTTGTAGTTGTATTTCAGTTATTGTAATTTTAGTGCATTAAATGTAATTTATGATAAATTGTAAAAGTTAAATGGCAAGTCCGTTATTAAACAAATTAAATTAAATCCTTCTAGAAATCGTCTGTGGTATGTTCAAAGCTCAAGGAAACTTCTGAGTTTATGTTTGTCTCGAGGTCGAGGCCACTCGAGAATGAGAATACCGATAATGATCTTAACGCGAACTCTACAAGTTTCCAGAACAATGGCAAAGTTGCTGGAAGAACTTCACAAATCAATGAAAGATGTGGAATTAAAGAAAAACTTCTCCTAAACTAAAATGTTGACTAATCTGGTGCCAGATCCAAATAAAAACTAAGCACATAAAAATATGTACTGGACAAATACTTGTATATAAATTATGACGTGCGCAGAGACAATCAAATCTGTGAACTATCCAGAAGAATATTTTTAGGAGGTGCAGCATATGCAAAAATCTGTAGAAGTAGGTATCCCATCCAGTTAGATTAATTTTGAAAGGAAAAAAATCAGATTCTTACCTATAGAATTTTTGATTTTGCTTATAGCAAAATAGACGCTTTTTCCGGTATTTTGCTGTATTCTTATGTTGAAAATTATTTTGCCTTGTTAAACGAGATACCAGAATCAAGGATTGCCTTGAGTCTTCCTTGGAAGAGTTTAGAATGGACCAATTGCTACTATTTGACAAATTAGTCATATCAATTCTTAATGTTCAGGGCTTCTTTAAGGTCTGAGGAAACCTCAAGGAGTGAATATTAATTCGGCCCTAATATGGGAAAAAGTTAATTTCTACTTGTTAATTTCACTCTATTTTTAGAGTATTGAGAAGAAGTTGTTCTAAAAATCACACGAGAGAAAAATATATACAAAAAATTTTTATTTATTAAATATTTATTAATTACATTTTTTTTCCTAAAGTGTTAAGTGTTCCAATTATTTTCTTTTTTATTCAAAGGCCAGGCACTTATCTGGGAACTGGGAACAAGTGCCGTGTCCTACTCAGTTCGATGTAAAATCTCATGTGTCAGACAAAGACTGAAAATTAATAAAACCGTGCCCTGCGCCCTCGTGCGTATCGAGCGAGAATTAGGCTGCAGGGTCCTTATTCTTGAAACAGGGGAGCAAAGTTCCCAGGAGAACGAGTGTCCCATCTTTGTTACTTATATTATCATTTGCATATCATTGAGAAAGACGGAACACTCCTTTTCTTGGGAATGTTGCTCCCCTGTTTCAAGAATAAGGACCCAGGTCGCCTCTTAGCTCCGTGCAGCCGTACAGCCAATGGGCCAATTTTTCTGTTAAATGTTCCTTTTTGGTTCTTGCAAAATTACTCTGGACTATTATCATTTATGTACTCTTTAAAAAACATGACAATCTACGCAATTGACTCAATGTCACTCCAAAAATCTTTGCGCTTTTTTATTCGTCAAGCCTAACTAAGGGGCGCCAAAATATGTAATCGCACGCGGGCGGCTACAGGTCTGGCGGGGGCCCTGAATAACACCCCTGTTTTCTATTTGAAGAATTCTTTAGTTTCATAACTATCTGCTCTGCTTCTATAATCCATTAATCCACTATGTCTGGCCAGAACAAAATCAACTTTCTATTTTGTAAAAATGAAATTTCAACTTCCGAATCATTTGAAATGAGCCAATGACCGGTGGTCAAAGTTAGGAACGCAAAAAAAAAATTGGTTAGAAAACTTTGAAAAAATTCCCTTAACTCTAAATAAAGTGTTAACGCCAAATTTAACACATGCATTTGCGAACATACATAACAAGATACTCACCGTGAGTAATGATGACTCCTGATTATATGCTCTCCACGAGGGATAGTTTGCAAGTGACAACTTTCAACTAACTTTTGGTCCAAACGGTCAAAGTTTATTGTGCATCTGATTTTTAACTGAACATGCATGCCGCAACACAGTACTTTTTGTAGATAGAAATCGCCAGCAATATACATTCACAGTTTTTTAAGGTGCATTATATCAGTCAATGATTTTTTGGTCAATGTTAGGGGAACAGTCAAAGTTAGGGGACTTTACGGTACCTACTAAAGTAACTGTCCAATAAAATATTTCAAAAGTATATTCACTGGCATGGAAATAACTCACAATAAAATGCTTATAATTAATTATTAATACCTTAGAGTAGGTAATTTCCTAGGTATGCGTATGCTTCACTTGCTCTAAGATTGATACAATAGCTGTTTTATATCATTAAGCCTAAATTTAATTTCAGGTTGAGTATCGGTTGCCAAATCCGGTAAAGCTTTCGAAAACATGTCTGTTAACTTTTTCAATTCTCCAGTAATGTTGTTTTGTTTCAACTTGGTGCCCAAGCAAAACACCAAATTCAGTGCCTCCTTTCTCAATCTTGTATATTTTGCTATACCTAAAACAAATTGTCAAAATATAAAATTTCACGATTTGTAAAGAGATATTTACCAAGCGAATAAGTAATAGCTTCCAATAATTTGTCCACTAATTGTTCCAAATCCGCACTTTCTTTAGAATTCAAATCGCTCTTTTGAAATAAATTTAGTTTGTTTACGAAACAATATAAAGCAGATAAAACAGCAACCTGTATAGTTCTGGTAACATTTGGCAAAGTTTCCACACAATGACTAACAAACAGCTCTCTATATTTCTCTTGAGTTGCCGCACTGTTTTCAGGCCAAGATTTACCCAAAGTATCATATGCGACGATTTTCAAATTAATTTGATTCTCTCTGTTTTCTTTTGTGTCAGATTGGTCTTCTTCTTCTACTTTTTTTCCTTCGCTATTCAAAGCCAGCTTGACTATTTCGTAAACTTGTTCAAAAGCGTCTATTTCCAATGCCGATAGGACTTCTCCTAAACAATCTAGAGCTGCTATTTTGTAAACTATTTCCTGTTTTCGGGCTTCTTTGCATATTGCTTGAACTATAATGTCTGGGCTGATTTCTTTATTATCTTTTACAGTGTTCCTAAAAAATAATTGATTTTAGTATTATGAATTATGAATTTAACAAATTTTTACTTGCAATCCGAACAAATACTGCACAAGGCTTTCAATAGTTTGTCTTTGCCTTTCCAAGTTTTGCCATTGAGGCCAGTGATTAAAATGTTTAGAAGCGAGTTGGTGTGTTGGGCATCCATCGTAGAGCCTAATTTACTGGCAACTGTTGCTACAGCATTAGCAGCCTAAAAATAAAAATTTAGAGAAACAAAATAGCTTCAAATTAAGTGCTTACTTGAGCTTTTATAGTCCAAGAAGAAGACTCTAAAGCGGTTTTGAGCATATCGCAAATAGGTTCGATATTCTGCCTTATGCCACTCTCGGTACCTACAAGAACAAAATTATTAAAACAAATTAAATATTTGAAATTCTTACCTGGGCTGTGTTCGGACCAAATTTCATTCCACATATCTAAAGTATGTTGAGTTTCTGGCGTTTTTTCCGAATGAAAAGCAAAAAACACTAAAGGCAAAACAACCTTTGAGTGCGACTTTAAAACTTCTTGATTGTGATTTCCTATGGATTGAATTGTATAGGCAATTGCTGACCTTATTGTGTCATCTGAAAATACTCAATGTTAACAAATTATAAATACTAAAAGTATTGTTACCTTCTCGTTCAAAATACCAAGTTTGCAACTTGGCAAACAATTTTTCCAGGCTGGATTCTTTACAAACCGAAACCAAATGGCCTATAGCGATAGCATTGTGTTTTCGTACAGCAGAATTTCTATCTGTTAGTCCGTTTACTAAAGTGGACAAGATTTTTCCTGCAAATGGTTGGACGTCTGAACGTAATTCAATCACCAACAAAGTAATAAAATGGGCGCAAGCAATTCTAGTGCCAAGTCCTATGTTTGACTTCATTAGTTCAAGAACTTTGGGTATTAATTCTTCCAGCATTGTACCGTCAGCATAACGTAAGCTCTAAAAGGGAAAATAAATAAAAAAGTTACAGCATGCTAAAATAGTCTTACTTTTGAAATTGTCTCAGTAGCAAAATTTGATTTTGCAATTGATGCTCTGGCATTATCAATTACTTCTTGTGTTTCAGTCTGAGCCCCCATCATTGTGCTGAGATATGATAGTTTGGCAGACTCTAGTTCTCCTGTGGCTTGCAATAGAGCAAATATTAATTTCGGTAAAAATGGCTTGACTTGTTTACCAGCAGAATTGACTAATTCCGAAACTGTTTGCAAACTGAAAATAAATCTTGGAGAAGTTAGTTTTTTTATTATTTAAAAAATTACCTTATAATACGAATTTCTGCCACTGAGTGAATAATGCCAGTATTTAACAAAATAGGTAATATTGCTTCTACCATTTTTAAACCAGCTTTTCCTTGATTAACTTCGCTTCCTCTTACACACAACTAAATTAAATTTTGCATCAAAATACTATTATTTTAAAATAAAAACCTCTTACTTTACTCAATATTCTTGTTGTTTTTGTTGCACATGCTCTTGTAGCTTCGTGATGGTCATCCATTACACGAAACAACTTACCCCACAATTCGTCCATATAATCAACTATAAAATTGCAATAATGTTAAAATTATTTTATTTTTTTTTGAATTAAAGCATGGAATTTTTACCTGCATCATGTATTGACCGGTTTGGAGATCCTTTGAGGAAATCTTGCAAAGCCAAGCAACAAGACTGACGGACTCTGTATTGTGAAGAATTTATATTTGCTAGGAGATCTTTTAGGATTTCGTGGTAGTATTGGTCCATCTGCAGGAGAATGATGTCATTAATATATATGATATTGGATTAGAAGCCACATAATCAAATTGTCAATACTTGCCGCATTTTGAGGTTCCGAAACCAACACTCTCCATATATTAGACATAGAAGCATTAATGCTTGGTGTAGGATCAAATTGATACCTGCAAAACAATTATGTTTACGATGAGTTAAAATTTGAGTAGAAGTCGTCCAAACCTGTACAACTTGGGAACAATTTCCGGCATGAGTTTCTCCAAATCTTTGCCACATTTTTGGGCGATGCTGGAAAAACCGTAGGCGGCCCCTTTCTTTGAATTCCACATGGCGTTATGATTGGCCAAATGCATAAATTGATAAATCAAGTCTGGTTTGTTTAAGTCGGAGGCTAAAGAGCAAAGTTCTTTGTAAGTTGTTAGATTTTCCCTGAAAAAAAAAACACATACGTTTATAGAAACTTAAGCTGAAAGATTATGTTTGTCTTGTCAAAATTCTGAAGACAAATAAGCTGAAATTTCCAGGGATTGTAGTCCCTTTATTGAGATAAATTTCAGTGAAAATTTCAGCTTTCTATCTATAATAGAAAAAAAGTTATGCCCTTCCAAAGTTTTCCAAAATCTAAATCATAAGGTAGGTACCTTCTTACTAAAACGATGAAATTTCAATTTTTTTTTTTGTTGAGATTTTGTATCCTAATGGTCAATTAACATCCCACAAACTCCATACACTAAATTATTCTCAGATTTGGAGCCGAAATCTATGACAAAAGGCACTCAGAAAAATTGAAAAATTGATAAATTACCCCAAAATGCTTAACACGATTTTATCTCAGGAACTAAGGGTGCAAATGAGCTGAAATTTTCAGGAATTGTAGTCCTTTTATTGAGATAAATTTCAGTGAAAATTTCAGCTTTCTATCTATAATAGAAAAAAAGTTATGCCCTTCCAAAGTTTTCCAAAATCTAAATCATAAGGTAGGTATAGTGTTTTTAATACCCATTTAGAATAACCACGTCCTTATTTATCAATCACGAATCAGATGAGACAAATAATTACCAACAAAAACGAACGTCGATTGCTAATACGTCAATTTCATCTACAAATAGGAAATTCCTAACCTAATTTTATTTGTGTGTTCAAGAAGCGACATATGTTTAGTCACTAGAACGACTGGTACTTCTAAATAGGTATTAAAAATTATATAGGTACCTTCTTACTAAAACGATGAAATTTCAAATTTTTTTTTGTTGAGATTTTGTATCCTAATGGTCAATTAACATCCCACAAACTCCATACACTAAATTATTCTCAGATTTGAAGCCAAAATCTATGAAAAAAGGCACTCAGAAAAATTGATAAATTACCCCAAAATGCTTAACACGATTTTATCTCAGGAACTAAGGGTGCAAATGAGCTGAAATTTTCAGGGATTGTAGTCCTTTTATTGAGATAAATTTCAGTGAAAATTTCAGCTTTCTATCTATAATAGAAAAAAAGTTATGCCCTTCCAAAGTATTCCAAAATCTAAATCATAAGGTAGGTACCTTCTTACTAAAACGATGAAATTTCAAATTTTTTTTTGTTGAGATTTTGTATCCTAATGGTCAATTAACATCCCACAAACTCCATACACTAAATTATTCTCAGATTTGAAGCCAAAATCTATGAAAAAAGGCACTCAGAAAAATTGATAAATTACCCCAAAATGCTTAACACGATTTTATCTCAGGAACTAAGGGTGCAAATGAGCTGAAATTTTCAGGGATTGTAGTCCTTTTATTGAGATAAATTTCAGTGAAAATTTCAGCTTTCTATCTATAATAGAAAAAAAGTTATGCCCTTCCAAAGTATTCCAAAATCTAAATCATAAGGTAGGTACCTTCTTACTAAAACGATGAAATTTCAAATTTTTTCAATCACGAATCAGATGAGACAAATAATTACCAACAAAAACGAACGTCGATTGCTAATACGTCAATTTCATGTACAAATAGGAAATTCCTAACCTAATTTTATTTGTGTGTTCAAGAAGCGACATATGTTTAGTCACTAGAACGACTGGTACTTCTAAATAGGTATTAAAAATTCTATAGGTACCTCCTTACTAAAACGATGTAATTTCAATTTTTTTTTTTGTTGAGATTTTGTATCCTAATGATCAATTAACATCCCACAAACTCCATACACTAAATTATTCTTAGATTTGAAGCCGAAATCTATGAAAAAAGCCACTCAGAGAAATTGAAAAATTGATAAATTACCCCAAAATGCTTAACACGATTTTATCTCAGGAACTATAAGTGCAAATGAGCTGAAATTTTCAGGGATTGTAGACCCTTTATTGAGATAAATTTCAGTGAAAATTTCAGCTTTATATCTATAATAGAAAAAAAGTTATGCCCTTCCAAAGTTTTCCAAAATCTAAATCATAAGGTTACTAAAACGATGAAATTTCAAATTTTTTCAACATTAAATTATTCTCAGATTTGAAGCCGAAATCTATGAAAAAAGGCACTCAGAAAAATTGATGATAAATTTCAGTGAAGATTTCAGCCTACAGATTCTGTTGATTCAAGACCCAAATTTCTTTAGTAAAATTATTACCCTGTAGGTGTTGATCCAAGTTGTCCTTCTTCAAACAATTTAGTATCGCTAGTGACTTGCTTAACGTTCCTCGTACCAAGAGTCAATTGATTGACGAGAGCACTTAATAATTCTTCTGATTTGAATAAATCATACATGACACATAGAGCTTTAGATGCAACATCTTGAATAATATCTATTGAAAAAAAAAATTATAATTTTAACACAAATACATTTTTTATAATCTCACCATTATTTTCACATAAGAAATTCATAAAAGTATTTTGTATAACTTTCAATCGTTTCTCAATAGGTTTCCTATTACCACATCCTAAAAAAATACCCAATCAAATATTTCACTAAAACAATCAAAATACTACCTTTTAATACTGCTAATAACCATATGCAAGACGCTTGTTTGGAATTGGGATGCTGTTGCCGAGTCAACTTCAATAGCTCATCCAAAAACCAATCCAAATTTTCATCCACTAAAGAATCCAAAGTGGTATTTTTAAATTCCTCTGGCAGTACCTTCCAAACATCTCTGGCTTCAGGTGAAGCCATACCTTGACAGCACATAAGCAGAGATTCTCCAATAGTAAAATGAACTTCAACATCTTTTGTCTGTTAACAAAAACAACCTCAGTATAATTTATTAAAAAAATAAATCACTATTACTTCTTTGGCTGTATTCATTAAACCTTGTGTGACAAGCTTTGTAGGACCAAATTGCTCTCCAACACACAACAGACCCAAAGATCTGGCTGCTTTTTCTCTAACCTTAGCTGAAAGTTTAACGTTGTTCATAATTTCTAGCAATACTTCCACTAAATGATTTTTGGTAATGCCTGTGGCCTTTTTTTTGGCGTTAGGACTGCTATCATCAGCAATGCTTACTCCTTCTTCTAAAGGTAAGCTTATTACTCGTCCAATCAAACCAATACTGGTTGCGGCTGCTCCAATTATCAAAGGATTTTTGTGATTCAAAAATGGGGCTAAAACAGGAGGCTGTTTGAAGATTTTAAAACAATACCATCAAATCTTACCAATTGTATTTATACAATCATTTACTAAATCATTTTTATCAAAAGCTAAGGAATCTTCTTTTTTCTTTAAAGCGTAAGCTTCTAGGATAGTGCCTATACCTAATAATGACCCGTGAATTGTCTCCAAATTGTTTTTAGTGGTTTGTTCTAGAAAACAAATTGTTCAAATTGCTTCAAACATCAACCAAAAAAACTTACCAATCAAATAATTTAAAGCCTTATCAATCTGACTATTATCAGATAAACGTGATATTACTAAAGCATATAAAGTTGCAGAATACTCTCTAACATCTTCTTTTACGTTATTTAGCTGATCTCTGATCCAGTTTACGTTTTCACTTAGTAGATAATGGAGCTCAGGTAAAGACCCTATTATTTCTATCATAGATGATAATGATTCCAGCCCTTGAAGCAATAATTGATTAATAATTTATTTCAAAACCCTTAATAATATTACCTGGCTGTACAATAATGAAACTTTTAACCATAGAACTATACTGAACCAAAGTCTCTTTCCCAGCTGCATCAGAATAGATTTCTCTAATAGCTTTAACAATTTTTGGTGTATATTCACAAGGATGTTTAGGAATATCCCTGGTCATTGGAATGTCAACATTTTTCAAAAGACATAATCTAAGATACAGTATAATTTCCAAATAAGTGCTAACTTGAAAAGGCAAAGAATGATTTCCAATATTCACGATTTTATTTTTATCATTCATATTAATTGTGTATTCATTAAAAGCGTGTTTGGTCATTTCTAGGAAGCTTGGCAAGGAACTGGAGTCAATAGTATTTGAGGTGTCAAAATACATTTTTTTAGTTGTACCGTAAATTGATTTGAAAGCTTCTTGTCTAACATCTTCTTCACTAAAATAAAAATTTAAATAGACCTATACCTCAAACAAAATACATATTACCAAGGGGTGTCTCACGGTTGGAAATAGGTGTACAAATTTCAAAATAATTTCCGGAAATTGCAGTAAATTGTCACAAATTATGTTAATTCTCAGAAATTATAGGAAATGTTTGGAAATTTTGGGAAATGTCAGGAACTGTTAGGAAATTATTCAAAATATTAGGAAATTTTTCGAAATTATAGAAAATTTACTGAAATTATTATAGGAAATTAGGCAATTTTCAACAGAAATCTTTGAGAATTTTTGTGTATCGCATATTGTTTAATTCCTGTTCAATATTTTGTGAATAAAAATACCTTACTGCTAACAAAATGCAGGCAAGTAAGTAGGTAGGTACCTATGTATAAACACATCTCATAAACTATGGAAGTCAAGCTTCATGTTGTTATTTTCTAATGGAAAAAATATAAAATTTTTGGAAAATGAGCTTCTATCCTTCCTGACTAAATGCAGAAAGCTAGTTTTCCAGAAAAACTGTGAAATGTGTGAGACTTTATTCTCAATTCATTCAGTTATTGTTAGTTGATTTTCAATATTTTGCATGTTGTAATTTTCCACTGGAAAAATTTGAAATTTTGGGAAAATGAGCTCTTAACTTTCCTCTTTACATGCAAAAAGTTCCAAAATTTTGCCTCTATTGGTTTTTCAGGAAAACTTTGAAATGTGTGAGAAAGTATATTCAAATAATTTAGTTATTTTAAGTTAATTTTCAAAATTTCTCATGATGTTATTTTCCACTAGAAAAATTTATAAATTTTGGAGAAATGAGCTCCTAACCTTCCTCTTTACATGTTAAAAAGTTTCAAATTTTTCCCTTTATCAGCCTTCCCGAAAAACTTTGAAATGTGTGAGGCTGTATTTTTAATTAATTCAGTTTTTGTAAGCTGATTTCCAAGATTCTTCATGTTGTTATTTTTCACTGGAAAATATTTGAAATTTTGGGAAAATGAACCTCTAACCTTCTTCTTTACATGCAAAAAGTTTCAAAATTTTCCCTTCACTAGTTTTCCAGGAAAACTTTGAATTGTGTGAGACTGTCTTTCAATTTAAATTCAGTTTTTGTAGGCTGATATCTAAGATTCGTCATGTTGTTATTTTCCACTGGAAAAATTTGATATTTTGGAAAAATATTGAGCAAAATGAGCTCCTAATTTTCTTCTTCACATGCCAAAAATTTCAAATTTTTCCCTTCACTAGTTTTCCAAGAAATTTTTGAATTTCATGAGACTGTCTTTCAATTAATTCAGTTTTTGTAGGCTGTTTTCCAAGATTCGCCATATTGTTATTTTCCAATGGAAAAATTTGAAATTTTGGGAAAATGAGCTCCTAACCTTCCTCTTTACATGTGAAAAGTTTCAACATTTTTCCTCAATTAGTTTTCCAGGAAAACTTTGAAATATGTGAAATTGTGTTTTCAATTAATTCACTTTTTCTAAGTTGATTTCCAAGATTTTTCATGTTGTTATTTTCCCCTGGAAAAATTTGAAATTTTGGGAAAATAACCTCCTAACCTTCCTCTTCAAATGCAAAAAGTTTCAATCATTCCCTCAATTAGTTTTTCAAAAAAACTTTGAATTGTATGAGACTGTATTTTCTAAGGGGCAAACCACCTAGGAATTCTTTGCCAAAAATGTGGGAAATTGAGGTATAGGGAATTTGAAGAAATGTATGGGGAATTTGGAGAAATTTGTGATGAGTTTATGAGGAATTTAGAGGAAATTGTAGGGTCATGACGTCACTGATTGTTATGAAATGGGTAAATTTATCTTATAGATAGTTACCAGCAAGTTTATCTGAAGATGAATAAACCAAGCCTATGCAAAATAAAAATTTAAAAAAATAAACTTATCACGAGCAATTATGAGGATTTTCAGGGAATTTGTAAGAAACATTTGTGGGGAATTTGAGAGGAATTTGCAGGAATTTGTGGAAATTTGCAGGGAACTAAGAAGAATTTTGGGAGAAAAAGCGTAGAAAATTCCCCTTTATTTAAGGAATTGTTTGCACAAATTCTGGGGAGGTGGTTTACCCCTTTATAGAAGTATCACAGTAATGTGTAAAATGTTAGTAAATGATCATTCCTAGAAAACTACAGTGAATATTGTAGAGATGTTCGAAAATTTTGGGGAGAAATTAGGCAAAAATCTCTTAGAAATTTTTGTTTCAGAAATGTCAGAAATTTCATAGGAAACTAGTAATTTTGGGGAATTCCGGAAATTATTCAGGAAGTTTCATAAATTATTTAGGAAATTTCAGATAATATAGAAAATACTTATAAAAATTCTAAATATTCAGGAAATTTCGGACAATATCAGAAAAACATTTCCAAAAAGAAAATAGGTGTACATACAAAATTTAACAGTGTAAGACACCCCTCGCATATTACATACCCATCTCCAATAGCAACTAATAGTAAAAACTTTGAAGATACATGATTAGGAGGAAATATGGTTGCCAAAGTCCTGACACAAACAAATCGCACCATTGCATCTTGAGAATTCATTTTTACTTTAAGAAAAGCCAACAGAATATCCAATCTGCCATTTTTATCAGATTCTTCAGGGAAAAGATCATATTTATAAGCCACTATTAAATTAAGCAAACCTTCTCTGATTTGTATTTTCATATCAGTATTGGCACCTTCTAAATTGTTGAAATACAATTCCAGCAATGCCACATCTGCAAATACCCTTTCAGGATATTTTTGAGCCAACATTGCAATTATAACATAAGCCTGGCTTTGATGCTCTGGCTCGCCTTCTTTGATTAGCTTTTTTAGACCTGCCAAAAGCACTAGGGCTACATTTTTTAAAGAATCACCAATAGCACTAAAAATATCAGACTTAAATATAATTCAAAAATATTAAATTCCTTACTATCTAGTGAGATTTGCAGTAAAATTTAAAGCTAAACTTTTAAGCTTTGCATTAGTATTTTCTCCATATAAACTATCAAAGATAACTTGTAAGCTGTGAGGAAACAAACACGCTTCCCCTTGGCACCTGCATAAATGCGTCAACAGTTTTAGTCTTATCCTGGTGTTAGCTGCAACCTTGCTTTTGTCAGCTTTTTGATGTTTAGTTCCTAAGAATAGTCTAAATAATGGCAAGGAATTCTTGGGCAATGTCCAATCAACAGCTCTAGAATTCTTAATATTAATAATGTCACTACATTTTTATCTACTTATTACTACCCCAATATTTTCTTTAGTTCCGTATCTGCTAAATTGGCAACAGCAAATCGGACATCTGACGCGCCCACTATAAAGTGTAGCAAAACATCGTCAGGTTTAAATATGCCATGAGCCAAAAATTTTATAATTCCTAATTTAATCTAAAATGAGTATTATTTATTTTGAGAAAAATTACTAATGTTTATTCTTACAGATTCAAATTCTTCAGGTTTTATGAGATTGTTTACTGTTACTCTTTTATAAGATGCCTCACTCATGCCAGAAGGTACTGATATTGGTACATTATTGGGAGTAGTTGAATCAGACTCTTGAGAATGAAGATTAAAGGCCCTAAAACAACAATAAGTAATTTTTGGTTGATGGTTCTAGGGCTGGTTTCTCAATAGTGAGTCACCTCCGGGTAGGTTTTAACTCTAGGGTATGCGTGTCCAGTTGCTATGTTTATCCTGGAGTCGAGCCTGGAGTTATCTTCAGCTCGGGGGTAACTTGCCATTGAGAAACCGGCCCTTAATGTACTCACGTGTAGGGCAGTAAAAGCATATCCAACAAAATCTCAAGAAAATATTTCGAAACTTCCGGATTCTCGTTTAGTCCAAAAAATGATTGGATTTTTTCCGGTTCTGAAGGTACCTTTACTTTGCCAAGCAATGGTACAATTAACAGTAGTAAACTGTCTATGTGCAAAATGGGTTTGTCTTTTAGGGCGTTTATTATAGTAGGGACTAGTTCTGTTTGTTTTTCTATTGGCAAACGAGGGAATCCAGATCGGATGTAGATGATGGTGAAATTCTGAAAAAAATATAGGAGAAATATCTAAATTTGATGTACTTATTTGAGCAAAAATTTAGTTTTAAAAAATGAATTCTTGTAAAAAGGAGAAGTTGAGCAGATTTAGATGTTTCACTCAAAAACTACAAAAGGCGCAGATATGAGATTTTTAAGCACTATTTTTGAGGATTTAGGGTAGAGTTGGAAATTAAACCATATAAATGTTTGTCTAATCCCGGCTCTTGAATTGTTTAGAAGTGTTTCAGTCCCAGAAGGGAAAAGGTCATTCTAGTTTTTCTGTTTCTGTTTCTAGGCTTTTCTTCATTCACCTGCCCCGCGACCTATTGGGCATTTGGATTCCCTAGGGATTGACTTTATCCCTGGTTCACGGAATTTGTCGGCAGATCGATCAATCTGATCCTTATCTGGAAGTTCATTTAGGCAATCTTTGCGCTCTAAACTATATGTGAAAGCTTTTACTTTATATCAGAGAATACCTAGGCAAACGCATTAAATCTGTGAAATAGTCGAATGATAGTTTTCTTCTCACAGATAATTCTGCTTTTTAGAATTTTTTCTTAAATTTCTTCTCTAAATTTCTGAATTTTTCCAGGTTCAAATTTTGTCTATTCCCGGCTTTTGAATTGTTCCTTCTAAATATCTCTACATAAAGGAAATTCAAGAGTCTGGAATAGAAATAACATATAGGCATTTAAGTCTACTTATCTACTCCATTTTGCCTTAATGTCTGTCTTTCAATTCTCAAATTTTTGTCTATTTCCGGTTCTTCAAGAGCCTCTTAATACATATAAGATAAGAGCCGCTTTATTCACTTTCTAATAAACTGTCAGGTAATAAAATCTGACGGATAAAAACGCAATATGTAATCCCATTGGTCAACCAATAGTTTCCAGCAAGTTCATCTCAAGATGAATAAACCGGGCCTAAGATAGAGAACATTGGATGTTAGCGAATACAATTTCAAGACAAAAACAGATCTGCGAAAAAGTCGTCTGATCCAAATCCATTTAAAATGCTGGAGGATGTTTTCTAGCAGGTCTTTTTTCCTATTCCAAAAAACATCTCAAGCAGCAAAGGTTAGTCGTTATGAGGTCGATTTTAAATAGAATTACGTCGATTAACCAAAATTCGACATGGGAAAGAAGTTTGCAACATATGACTTGTTTGGGACGTCACGTAGTGGACGTTTATTTGACCATAACATGAACTAACAGGTTCAAAAGTTACCATGTAAAACCCAATATGACCCATTCAGAAAAAAATACCTTGTATTAAGACGTCTATGAAGCGTCCATTCGACGTCATTGAATTAGACGTATATTTAGTCAGTGTGGATTGATTGAAAAGTTATACATCTACAAATTAATACCAGTACATATTATCTTATGCATAATAAGTATGCAGTGGGTATTTACATAAAAAAAATTATAATACTAAAGTAGTTTTGGCAATTTTTGCCACTGGAATAATAATCATTCTCAAAAAGTTTTTCATCACATTTTCGAAACAATCTGAAATTGATGTTTTGTGCATTTCAGCAAGTAAAGATGGTAGGATTTGTTTATCTTAATAATTATTATACCTAATCGATGAATCATCACTGCACAGAAGTAAGAAAAAAAGGGACCAGGGTAATGCAAACAAGCTATTGTACCTTTCTTTTCTTATCTACATATTTTTATATCCTCATTCTGCAGTAGAATATTGTGGAGGAATAAGCTATTGAAAAAATAATAATTATATACCTAAGCTATGATCCTAAGTGCCCTTCGAAACCAGAATTTTGGTAAGCTACTTCTAGTTATTAAGCATGTTTGATATTAGACTTAGAGCATTTGGCTATAGATGTTTTCAATAAATTCCTTTTAACAATTGAAATTGCGTTTCACTGATATCCAGGGCAACAAATCATGGTTTGATTATTTCTTTCTGGTAATTGGTGTCCCCTGGGGAAGCCGTCCACCATAATAGGTTAGGATCCCATTTGTTGCATGATTATACTATTTAAGGTAAGTGTAGCAGTGGGGCACTACCGAATACTGGCGAGAAATTGTTGAATTATGATTTGCTGTTGGATGACAGCTGCACAACATGGTTTCAAGTGAATTTAGTTTAATGAGGCTTTAATAGAATAGCCGAATGCTCTTCAACTTTGTCAAGCAATATTGTTTTTGTGTTTTCTAGATGAAGAGTCAAGTGATCATATTCTATATTGTAGCTGAAATGAAATGATCATTTCTCTAAAGAGGAATAAAAAACCTTTCAAAGAAGGTATCACCCAGGGTAGTTTCCTTAGGTCTATCCGATGTGTATTTAACACATTTATCTAAGAGATACTAGGTAGTTTCAACTCTATTAAAACCAAAAATAAACTAGAATAATACAAAACTATCAGTTCTGATCATTATTGAGCTAAAGTTGAATCTTCAGCAGTTTCGAAAGCCTAATTTTGAATCTGTTAAAAATGAAACCAAATTGGAGAAGCTTCAAAGTCCTATAAGTAGCTTTTTAGAGTTGTTTTTCGAATAAAATAATCACAAAAACACCTTTCAAGTTTTAATGAATTAGAGCCTCTTAACCTTCGTCTTCCCGGGTGGGGTACAAATGTACCCCAGAAAACAATTTTTCTAGCATAATATTTTCCCAAAAAGTGCATGTTTTTTGTGACTAATTTTATTTTGTGTCAGTAAGGGCTTTGCACATAATTAGAGATCATCAAAATTTTTCTATTTATAAATTTTTTAGAAATAACAATTTTGCATAGCGTGGGGCACATATACCCAATGACGTACCCCACGTGGGAATCTGTGGCTACTCCATCAAGTAGTCACTTTGCAGGTTGGAAATAGATTTCCAACCTGCAAAATTTAGAAATCACGATAATAAAGCTAATCAAGAAGTATCTGTGGAGCAGGAAGAGAACGAAAGTTTACTGGAAGTAGAAGGCGGAAAAATGATTTATAAATCGAAAGATTGGTCAAAAATACCATTTCCCAACTATTTTTTTTCACTAACTGTAATCTATAGATTGATTTAATCTATTATACTTGAATGTTTAGTATAAATAAAATCATGTTTAATTGTCAGAAGTATCATTTTTATCATGGGGTGCCAATATACCCCACGTGGGAATCCACGTAATTTTTTTTGACGTGGGAAGACGAAGGTTAAGATGTCAAAGACTATAGTGTTTGGAGGCCTAAGACTGTAGGTTGAAGATTCTAAACAGCCAATTCTCAATTATTTTTGATATTGTACTATTGATTGTACTCATGATTGAACAATAAAGACACTTATTATTATTTTAGTTAGAATAAGGACTATAAAGCTTTTAAGACATCTTGAAGTTAATGACTAAAGACTTAAGGGATTTTTAAAACTGGAGGCTTTAAAGCTTCTTGTTCATTATTGAAAATTCTGAGAGGAAAACTGATCCAGATTTTTGTAGCAGTTATGATAAATAAGCATTAAAAAAAAGTTGTTTCAAGATGTTCCAAATTCTGTATTTTGTAGAATAATAACTCTCTGCCTCTATTAAAATACCAGTTCTGTTAATTTCTGCCCAGCTCCTATAAGTTTTCGCTGGTGATTTTACTGCTGGATCCTTGAAAGATGCAAAGGACAAAAACCTTTTTGGAGGTTTTAAGGAAACTCATAGTGAAAATTTCAAAGCATTTGAACAATACTCAAAAAAGTTTTGGAAATTGACAATGCATTTGAAGCAGAACTTAATGAGCCCTTCATCTCAGATTTAGGAAGGAGTAAATGTTGACTCCCTCCTTGATATAAATGATTTATGCCCAATTGCACCGTCTCTCTTAACTGAGGGTTAACGATAACTATCCTTTAAATTGACAGTTTTGCATGGGAAAATGGCACTTTAAGGAATAGTTTTCTTTAAGCTTCGGTTAAGAGAGATGGTGCGATTGGGCATTAGGTACTCAAAAACTACAGAAGGTGCAAATATGAAATTTTGAGGCACTTTTTTTGAGGCTTTGAAGCAACTCATACTGAAAACTCAAAGCAATTGAGCAACACACACTTCCAAAAAATGCATTTTTCCAAGGAGAAAACTTGAAAAATGTCAGCAAATCAAATCTTTATTAATTTAAAACTACCTACATAATGCTTGTAAATACACTTTATTTTTGAGGCTTTGAAGCCTATAAAGTTTTTAATCTATCAATTGCACATTATACTTACAATAACGAATGAAGTAGCATCTGGACCTTGATATTGGTTAAGTAAAGCTTCTACCGGGAGTTGGACCAAAGGTCTGGTTTTGATTCTCTTATTCACATGAATCAATAATTCCATCACCTAGAAAGTAGACAATGAATTGAGAATTTTTGATTTTTTAATAAGTTTTATACCTTTTTTCTGACTACTTCCTCTGGCGAAGACAATTTAAGCAAAACAGGTACCAGGAACTTGCCCAGCACATTTTCCAGCTGCTCATCAGTGGTAGCTGAACCTAGCCGGAGAAAGACTCTCTCCAAGAGCACTATAAAGATAAAACAGAAAGTTTTTACTTATTTACTTAGGGGCTACTTTAATGAGGTCTATAAATCTAGCAGTCCCAAGGTGAAAAAAAACTTCGGGAACTATATAATAATAAGGTGCTTTTTAGGTGCTAATTAGGGCCTTTAATTAAAAATTAGGTGCTCCTTTAGTTTTTGAGAAAATCAAAAAACACTAAGGGACTGATAGGTTTATAAAAGCTAGCAGTCCCCTATAGTAAAAAATATTTTTCCAAAATTTTCTTTTGTATTAGAATTAGGTGCTTTTTAGGTGTAAATAAATAAATAAATAAATATTTTATTAACGACAACGTCATTTAAAAGTGTTTACAATAATAATAAATATAATATATATATAAAAAAAACATTTAGTAAAACAATCAAGTAAAAAAAACAATAACAATCTAATCAAGGAACATTACACTTGTTAATAGGATTATCTTTAGACCACTATATCACAGGTTTTTAGGTACAACTCACAGAGTGTAATATACATAATATAATCAGACTTCTACAAGAGAGAAAAAAAGAACATAATACATACTACAATAATAGTTGCTGCAGTACTGGCATTAGGGATCTTAATTAAACATGTTTTATTTTTCTTTTAAAGGAATTTAGGCTTACATTAAAAAAATCGATATTCAGTCTTTCAATGATATTATTAGCCAACCCACAGAATCTTGAGATGGGAGAATTTAAGCCATAATTAGTTCGATGATGTTTGATATAAAATAGCCTATTTGTTCTAACATTACAATTTCTAGGTACATGAAAACCAATTAGTGACAAAAGATCTGGTGACTGTATGATATTATTTATAATTTTGTTTATAATTTTGTATAGGATACATAAGTCTTGCTGGTCTCTTCTTTGCTGTAAAGTTTGCATGTTTAAAAGGGATAAAATGTCATCATAATCAATAGAGTCATAATTGATATTCAATCTAAATGCAATTTGTCTCAGAAATTTTCTTTGAACTCGCTCTATTGCATACTTTTGATTTTCATAAAAAGGAGACCAAACTGGACTGGAGTATTCTAGTACTTGCCTAACAATTGCAGAATATGCATTCCTCAAAGTAAAAATATTATTGAAATCTCTCTCTCAAATTGCGAAAAACAAATCCCAGTAGCCTCATTGCTTTATTAGAAATCCTATCTATATGCTCATGAAAGTTTAATTCCACATCCAAATAAACCCCCAGGTCTCTAATAACATAAACTCTCTCCAGTTCAACATTGTTGATAGAATAATTGAAAATGAAAGGATTCCTTAGACGCCCAAAGGACATTACTTTACACTTATCGATATTAAGAGAAAGATTATTCAATTCGCACCACTCAAAAAACCCATTTAGCTCGTTTTGCAGCGTAACACAATCCTGCAAACTTCCAACTACAATAAACATTTTCTTGTCATCTGCAAAGTTTAAAAATTTACAATTTACAAAGTTTTGCTTGACATCATTTAAAAATAAGTTGAACAAAAGAGGAGACAAATGTCCGCCCTGAGGTACTCCCGACGTAACCTCAATAAAATCAGACAGATAGTTTTCGATTTTAACTTTTTGTTTCCTATAAGAAAGATAGTTAATAAGCCATTCAAAAAATTTACCATGAAAACTCATGGCTAATAATTTCCTAGAGAGGATACTATGATCAACCCTGTCGAACGCCCTGGAGAAATCGGTATAAATGACATCCACCTGATACCCCCCCTCCAAGGCATCAAACAGGACCTGCTCAAACTCCAACAAGTTTGAAGTGGTTGACTTGCCCTTCATAAAGCCATGTTGTTCTGGTGTAATTAAATGCTTAAATAAAGGTGTAATTTTGTCAGTTATGATAGCTTCGAAAATCTTTGAAAAAATAGAGATTTTGGAGATAGGGCGGTAATTCTTAACATCACAATTGTCCCCACTCTTGAAAATTGGAGTTACATAACTCAATTTCCAAACATCAGGGAAGGTTCCAGTTGATAGTGATTTATTAAATATTTGAGACAAAACAAAAGAAAAAAAACAAATGCAGTTCTTGAGAAGACACACAGGAATACCATCTGGACCGCATCCTACATTCTTGAGTTGATAAATTTTGTTGTAAACATCTATGGGTTCTATAATGATATCACCCAGACTGACAGAGAGGTCGCTAGATATATTCATCTCCTTGTGGTCATAGGAGGTGTATACTGATGAGAAGTGTTTACAGAAAAGATTTGAGATACCCTGGGGCGTATCACTTTTTTGTTCACCAAAGATCATTGAAGAAGGAAAACCTTTTGTGTCTTTCTTAGAGTTTATGTAACTCCAGAATCCATCCCTTTCCTGCACTCTCTCCTCAATACTATCAAGATAATTTTGATGACTGATTGGGGCATACCGTCGACATTCTGAGCGAAGTTGGGAGAATTTTTGATAATCCAACAATGATGATGAAATTTTGTAAGTTTTGTGAGCAGCCTTTTTATTAAAAATAAGACTTTTCAGATGGTCATCCATCCATTTAGGAAATTTTGGATTCTTATGCCTGTTTAAGGGTGTCGACACCTGAATGGAATTGTTCAATGCTTCATAAAACATTCGCACACATACATCAACATCATGATCAGACAGAATATTATTCCAATCAGCCATTGTGAAAGTTAGTTCAAATTCTCTGAAGTTACATTGTTTAAAGTTGTAGTACCAATAATCATAGGACAAGCTTTTAGTTGTATTTACTGCCCCAATTTCAAACTCTAATGCAGGATGCGGTTTATCTAAACTTAACAGCGGACTTGCACATGGAAAAATAGTTACATCTGTTCTATTACTAAAAATTAGATCTAAAAAATTTCCGTACTGATTAGAAATTTGATTGAGTTGTGACAAGTTACAGAAAGACATGCAATCCGCCAAGCAATTTGTTTCATCTGAAGTAGCACCAATTGGTCGGCAACCATCATCATCGCAGATCCACGAAACTTTAGGACGATTAAAATCACCACAGAGAAACATATCAAGTCTTTCGCAAGGACAGTTATCCAACACATACAGAATAGAAGAAGAATATCGCTCATATATTTCACATGATGAATTTGGGGGAATGTAGACATTACCAAACAGAAAGTGACTGTCACCGATAGTAAGCATAACAAACAACTGTTCTAAAGAGTCTGTATTTGAGGGTAAAAGCTTACATTTCAATTCCTTTTTGACAGCAATAATAACTCCTCCACCTTGAGATTTTTCAGAGTTTGTCTTCAATGATCTATCACATCGATAAATTGTGTAGTTTCCTTGGAGTCCGATTTCGCTAGTTAGTATGTTTTCATCAAGGAATGTTTCAGTTAAGAGAATAATGTCATAATTTTCTACCATAACGTTGCACACTAAATCCCTTAGCTTTGTCTTCACTCCCCTGACATTTTGGTAATAACAATGAATTTTCAGTTTTTTGGAGGCTGATTTTGAAAATTTGGCAAAGATTGCTGCATGTTGTTGTCTCTCTGCTGTCTCGGCAAATTAAAATTAAAATCCCTAAAGACAACTCCTATGGGCCAGAAATCGCAGCTATTTACTGTTTGATAAAATTGATTGTTTACACCTACTTTAAAGGATTTTATTCGATTATCATTTTTAAGCTCTTTAACAATGACATTAGTTTCCGGTGTTTGTAGTTTGTTGCACAAAAACTTCTGAATATCTTTATCACACGACTCGGCTGAGATTCTGCCCAAGTAAAGCCATTTCCTAGTAGAATAAGGTATACTCTTGATCTCACTGGATACATTAGTGCCCATAAACAGATTTGGTTTGTTTATATTTTGCAAAGACTGGCCAGATTCATTGGTATGCGTTGAGGTAAGTTGAGCTACAAGTTCTTTGTGCCGGTTGGCATAAAAAGCATTATTAATGGCATTACTCACAAAACTTGGAGTTATCCGAGGTTGTTTTTGCGTTTTGTTTACATTTTGATTCATTAACCTCTCATTACCAGCTGATTGACTCAGTTTGCTATCCGTCCCCTGATTATGGGCCCCTCCATGGGACTTGGCCTTGGCCGCAGTATCCTCGACCTTTAGTAAAACAGCTGATTGCGGCTGAAGCTGTGTTGTCACGTTGTTCACAGGATTTCCTGAGACTAAATCAATTTTATCATCAATGCCAATATTTAGATTTTTCAGTAATTTATTATCAAATTGGTTGTTAGCTAACTGGGCAAGGTTTTCCGTTAGTGTGCCTACAGATTCCTTCAATATTTTATTTTGGGCTACAACATCTGTCACAGCACTTTGCAGATCTTTTAAAGAACTTTGAATAATGGCGCTAAGAGAGTCTTTGATCAAATCACTAAGAAGATCCCTTGATTTTTGAACGTAATCAAAGGTTTTTGCTTCCTTGATGCAAGATGGACACCAAAAAATCATAACTCTGCCACTCTGTCGTATAAGTGCCCTTACCTCGGATGAAGAAATATCGGAGCAAGCTTTGCATACTGTTTTACCACATCGATCGCACGGAAAACCAAATAAGCGCTTCTTTTCTTTATCCTCATCTGGAACACATTTTGAGGAGCAAATGTAGCACTTTAGGTCTGACGACGAGTCACCCATTATGAGAACTCTACGTGATAGCTATCACTGACACTGATTACAGTAGATTTACAGCCTCTAAGGGGTAGCCTTATGTTTAATATGAACTAGATCGACGAACCAAAGATGCTAAATAGAAAAACGATAATTTTTCACCGTGCAAAAGCAAATTTTCACAATTTTTCAAGAGAACTTTTCCAAAACCAACTATTTTGCGATGTTGCCGTATATAAAACTTGTTCCTAAATAGTCGCAGAAAAAATAGAATTTATTAATTAGGTATTAACTGAGTTACAGATTTTTTTTCAATTATTAGGGGACTGCTGGCTTTACGTTTACATGTTGGTGTGTCAGAATGGAAAAAAACTTTGGGATCTATGTAATAATTAGGGGCTTTTTAGGTGCTATTCTAACACACCAACATGTAAACGTAAAGCCAGCAGTCCCCTAATAATTAAAAAAAAATCTGTAACTCAGTTAATAATTAATCAATTTTATTTTTTCTTCAACTATTTAGGAGCACCTAAATAGCACCTAATTCTGATCTTAGTTTTTTTTGATTTTCTCAAAAACTAAGGGAGCACCTAATTTATAATTAGAGGCCCTAATTAGCACCTAAAAAGCACCTTATTATTATATAGGTACCCAAGTTTTTTTCCACCTTGGGACTGCTAGGTTTATAGACCTACTTTAATGAGTTTCTGAATTTAATTGTTTTGTTTTTAAGAAAATGTGATATTGGCCCCAATTTATGACCCATGTGAAGTGAGCTCCTTGTTGCTGGCAACAAGGAGCCAGCAACAAAAATTTTACAGTCGACCAGTTCATTACTGGTGATGATTATTTTAAAATGCAAAATCACAATATATCTTCTTTTAAATGGTTAAATAGTTTCAAATAGGGACAAAATACATTTCCCCAGGGCTATTTCACTACTTATTCGCCAATTTACAATAAACCATAAATTGTTTGAAAAAATAAGTTGCTTTTTTATTTTTCCAATTTTCAAGGTATTCAGGCCTATGATGTATCATATTCTGTTATTTTAACAGCAACGTTAAGTTGTCTGTCACTGTTCATTGTATATGTCAAAATAGAGAGAGGTATAGATAATGAGCTATAACATAGCTGTTAAAATAACAGGGGAGGATACATCATAAGCCTGATTGTTTTCACTTAAATTGTGATTGAATATCGAAAGGTGATTGAAAAGACGTCAAATAAACCTAGATTTAACCCCCCTTCCCCTCTGATAAGTGAGATACCCAAATAAAATGTCAAAAATATAGGGATTTTTTTCAATTTTCTCAAACTTCAAGGTATTGTTTCACTTAAATTGTGATAGAATATCGAAGAGTGATTGAAAAGACGTCAAATAAACCTAGATTTAACCCCCCTACCCCTCTGATAAGGGAGATACCCAAATAAAGTGTCAAAAATATAGGATTTTTTCAATTCTCTCAAACTTCAAGGTATTGTTTCACTTAAATTGTAATAGAATATCGAAGAGTGATTGAAAAGACGTCAAATAAACCTAGATTTAACCCCCCTACCCCTCTGATAAGGGAGATACCCAAATAAAATGTCAAAAAAATAGGATTTTTTTCAATTTTCTCAAACTTCAAGGTATTGTTTCACTTAAATTGTAATAGAATATCGAAGAGTGATTGAAAAGACGTCAAATAAACCTAGATTTAACCCCCCTCCCCCTCTGATAAGGAAGATACCCAAATAAAAATGTCAAAAAAAATAGGATTTTTTCAATTTTCTCACACTTCAAGGTATTGTTTCACTTAAATTGTAATAGAATATCGAAGAGTGATTGAAAAGACGTCAAATGAGCCTAGATTTAACCCCCCTACCCCTCTGATAAGGGAGATACCCACATAAAATGTCAAAAAAATAGGATTTTTTTCAATTTTCTCACACTTCAAGGTATTGTTTCACTTAAATTGTAATAGAATGTCGAAGAGTGATTAAAAAGACGTCAAATGAACCTAGATTTAACCCCCCTACCCCTCTGATAAGGGAGATACCCACATAAAATGTCAAAAAAATAGGATTTTTTTCAATTTTCTCACACTTCAAGGTATTGTCTCACTTAAATTGTGATAGAATATCGAAGAGTGATTGAAAAGACGTCAAATAAACCTAGATTTAACCCCCCTTCCCCTCTGATAAGTGAGATACCCAAATAAAATGTCAAAAATATAGGATTTTTTTCAATTTTTTCAAACTTCAAGGTATTGTTTCACTTAAATTGTGATAGAATATCGAAGAGTGATTGAAAAGACGTCAAATAAACCTAGATTTAACCCCCCTTCCCCTCTGATAAGGAAGATACCCAAATAAAATGTCAAAAAATAGGATTTTTTCAATTTTCTCACACTTCAAGGTATTGTTTCACTTAAATTGTAATAGAATATCGAAGAGTGATTGAAAAGACGTCAAATGAGCCTAGATTTAACCCCCCCTACCCCTCTGATAAGGGAGATACCCCACATAAAATGTCAAAAAAATAGGATTTTTTTCAATTTTCTCACACTTCAAGGTATTGTTTCACTTAAATTGTAATAGAATGTCGAAGAGTGATTAAAAAGACGTCAAATGAACCTAGATTTAACCCCCCTACCCCTCTGATAAGGGAGATACCCACATAAAATGTCAAAAAAAGAGGATTTTTTCAATTTTCTCACACTTCAAGGTATTGTTTCACTTAAATTGTAATAGAATATCGAAGAGTGATTGAAAAGACGTCAAATGAGCCTAGATTTAACCCCCCTACCCCTCTGATAAGGGAGATACCCACATAAAATGTCAAAAAAAGAGGATTTTTTCAATTTTCTCACACTTCAAGGTATTGTTTCACTTAAATTGTAATAGAATATCGAAGAGTGATTGAAAAGACGTCAAATGAGCCCTAGATTTAACCCCCCTACCCCTCTGATAAGGGAGATACCCACATAAAATGTCAAAAAAAGAGGATTTTTTCAATTTTCTCACACTTCAAGGTATTGTTTCACTTAAATTGTAATAGAATGTCGAAGAGTGATTAAAAAGACGTCAAATGAACCTAGATTTAACCCCCCTACCCCTCTGATAAGGGAGATACCCACATAAAATGTCAAAAAAATAGGATTTTTTCAATTTTCTCACACTTCAAGGTATTGTCTCACTTAAATTGTGATAGAATATCGAAGAGTGATTGAAAAGACGTCAAATAAACCTAGATTTAACCCCCCTTCCCCCTCTGATAAGGAAGATACCCAAATAAAATGTCAAAAAATAGGATTTTTTCAATTTTCTCACACTTCAAGGTATTGTTTCACTTAAATTGTAATAGAATATCGAAGAGTGATTGAAAAGACGTCAAATGAGCCTAGATTTAACCCCCCTACCCCTCTGATAAGGGAGATACCCACATAAAATGTCAAAAAAATAGGATTTTTCAATTTTCTCACACTTCAAGGTATTGTTTCACTTAAATTGTAATAGAATGTCGAAGAGTGATTAAAAAGACGTCAAATGAACCTAGATTTAACCCCCCTACCCCTCTGATAAGGGAGATACCCACATAAAATGTCAAAAAAAGAGGATTTTTTTCAATTTTCTCACACTTCAAGGTATTGTTTCACTTAAATTGTAATAGAATATCGAAGAGTGATTGAAAAGACGTCAAATGAGCCTAGATTTAACCCCCCTACCCCTCTGATAAGGGAGATACCCACATAAAATGTCAAAAAAAAGAGGATTTTTTCAATTTTCTCACACTTCAAGGTATTGTTTCACTTAAATTGTAATAGAATATCGAAGAGTGATTGAAAAGACGTCAAATGAGCCTAGATTTAACCCCCCTACCCCTCTGATAAGGGAGATACCCACATAAAATGTCAAAAAAAGAGGATTTTTTCAATTTTCTCACACTTCAAGGTATTGTTTCACTTAAATTGTAATAGAATGTCGAAGAGTGATTAAAAAGACGTCAAATGAACCTAGATTTAACCCCCCTACCCCTCTGATAAGGGAGATACCCACATAAAATGTCAAAAATATAGGATTTTTTTCAATTTTCTCAAACTTCAAGGTATTGTTTCACTTAAATTGTAATAGAATGTCGAAGAGTGATTAAAAAGACGTCAAATGAACCTAGATTTAACCCCCCTACCCCTCTGATAAGGGAGATACCCACATAAAATGTCAAAAAAATAGGATTTTTTCAATTTTCTCACACTTCAAGGTATTGTTTCACTTAAATTGTGATAGAATATCGAAGAGTGATTGAAAAGACGTCAAATAAACCTAGATTTAACCCCCCTACCCCTCTGATAGGGAGATACCCAAATAAAGTGTCAAAAATATAGGATTTTTTCAATTCTCTCAAACATCAAGGTATTGTTTCACTTAAATTGTGATAGAATATCGAAGAGTG